GTCCGCCTGAAAATTTAGAGCGAACGCCCATCTTTGCAGATGGCGCGGACAACGGTAGGCCGTCTCGTTTTTGGAATTTCGGTCGTCTTACTATTGCGGAGGGAGCTTTAGCTCCGTTTTCTTATCAGTTTATTTTCGGATGTGCCGTTATTAGGCGTCCTTTGCCCCTTCAAATTCTAGGTTAAATTTTCAAATTATAACCGTTCAACTTTTTAGGCGGGAAAGATGAATTTACCATTTAACCCCCATAAATTTTGCCTATATATACAAAGGGTTTGACCTCATTTTCACACTTTGGAACTTTGCATTTTCTAGAGAGAAGTCCGAGCTTTTAGAGAGAGAAAGTGCCTTTTTCTTTGAATCTTCATGAGCTCCGCCGTTCCTTTGAGTTTTCCGGGCACATTCTTTGAGTTTTCCGGTCAACCTTCAAGACTTTTCAAGTTTTCTACACGTATAGAGGTAGACCGCTTGTTTTCTTTTCCTTTACTTGCATTTTTATTTCTTTATTCTTCATTTTTTAAATATGGCTCAACACTCGGCTTCGTCCGTTTCTCCTCATGAGGCCGGCCGTTCGCCTGGGACTGAGGAGTCTAGAGTGGACGAAGACGAGTTGTCTCCTTTAAGGAGTGAGTCCATTTCTAGTGCGTACCAACTCACTTCCACCTATTCTTCTTTGTCCCTGCAGTCGGACATGGCAAGAGCAATGCAGACGCATGATCGTCATGCGGCCAGAAACCCAGACGGTAGTCTGGTGCACCCTAGGCCTCCTTATAACTCTAACAACACGGACTTAGAAACTCCTTCCACCACTCCTACGACTGCTTCCATGGGCACTCACTGCTCGGCCGTGGAAGTAACCTCCTCCTTTGAAGAGCGCCAAAGAACTCAGGGCGCTTCGGCCGCGGGGGGAACGTCCGAGCGAACTCCGGGATTAAGGTTCCCCCAATATGCCAACTCGGTCATCGATGGGGCTGAGTTGCTACTCTGTGAAGGACCTCCTTCCTCTTCTCGGGCGGACGCTGATCCTTCCGTCCCCACTCCTTTGGAACTCTATCTCCGATATAGCAGGTCGGACAGGCCAAGGACTGGGGTCTCAATTAATGAACCGTCCGACCAGCCTCCTCGTAGAGCTCCTCTTACTGGGAGACAGGCGGCCAATGCCAAAGACAAAGGCAAAAGGCCCCTAATTCATGAAGACATTACCTCTTCCTGGGGCGGCCGTAGCTCTAGAAGCCACAGCTCAGCAGAGGCAGCCGATTTGGACAGAGTGTTGTCTTATGAGTTTGGGAGTGCTCCTCAACAAGAGGAGGAAGAGGTCGAGAAAGCGGTCGAGGGCGAAGCGGTGGCGGCCGAGGGCGAAGCGCTGGCCGCCGAGGGCGAGGCGGCTACCGAGGAGGATGTTGCCAACATTGAAAACTTCAAAGATCCGTTCGCCTGTACGGTGGGTAGCACGGCCTTGGGCTACCTAAATTACAAATTCGAAACATACAAGGCATTCCTCCATCTTGGGGAGGGATTTGAGATTCAGCCTCCAAGGAAGTCACACGTTGTGGCTGCTTGGGAGGAAGAGAGGCCACGTCAAAGGTCTTTCAGTGTTTATAGGGCGGCCTTAGACACCGGACTGCGCTTCCCTCTCCACCCCTTTGTCCGCACCATCCTGGACGAATACGACATTGCTCTCTTCCAGCTGATCCCGAACAGCTGGTTGAACATTTTTGGGTACTTGGTGACGTGCATCTGCAAAGGCTTCAAGCCGGACTTTGCAGTCTTCTGTGAGATGCACTCACTAACTAAGCTGGACGCGGATACGGACGGCTGGTTCATTCTGAGCTCCACCAGGGACTACATGATGGTGGTTGACCGCGTCTCCAAATGGCGCGACTGGAAGCACCGATTCTACCGCATCAAGACCAAAGATGTTGAATTTAACTTGCGGATGAATCGGTTTAATGCTGAACCAATTTAGCTTGGACGTGGGGACCTCAAGCCTGATAAGCCACCTGTCCACCCCAGCCAGGAGCACCAGCTTGAATACTTCAAAGTCAAGAGGGTGAAGAGGAACGGCAAAACTGAGCGCGTTCCAAGTAACTGGATCCCTTTATCCAGCTGGCTTCGGGATCCCACGTTCATGTCCGCCTACGGCCTGTAACAGAACTTGCCCCAAGGTGGACGCATGGACATATATTTTTGCACATACATAAGTTATTTGAAATTGAAGGATTTTCTAACACTTCTTCTTTTTCTTTTACAGCTGAGGCGTACAAGATGTGGACTCAGAGCAGAAAGAGGAAGTGAATATGTCGGAGATTGACTTGGCCCGCTACAAGGCTCGTCGGAAGCTGTACGAGCAATCTAAAGAAGTAAGTATATTCTTTTCACCTCCTTTTCTTCTTTTCGTCCGTGCTGGGATGCTTGGAAGGTCCTCCTTTCTGGGTTCGCACGGACGTATCCCTGCGTCCGGGTTGGTATTACGGAAGAGATCTCCTTCCTAGCTAGACACGGCCAATCAATTGTATTATCTTGCTCACTTTTCGCTAACTTTTGCCTCTTCAGCTGTCAACTCCGACCCCTAGGTCCAAGCGGAAGCAGTCGTCCCCTGCCTCCAAGACGGACAAGGACGGGAGGGCGTCCAAGCAAAGGAAGACGGTCTCATCTAAGACCACTTCCACCACTGCGGCCAAGACCACGTCGCGGACTGTCTCCAATCAGTCCAAAGGAGAACAACCCCGACTGAGTGATAGCGGGGCCTCCAAGTCCATGGATCCGGCCGCCACACCGGTTCATGATAAGTCCGAGAAATCGGACAGTAGGGGTAAGTCGACCCCGACAAAACCGACCGGGCCAGAAGTGACTCCGCCCGTACAAAGAGTCAACGAATCTGATTGGCTTGAAGCCTTTCAGTCGGCAGGCGACCAACCTGGCCGGACGGGTGAAGAAGAGGAAGAGCCTACGCCGCCTCCGTCTTTCATCTTCAACCCCCTCAACGCCCCAAGCTTCTCCGACGGTCAGTTCGAGTTCTCTTGCTTCTTCCTCTTGTTTTTTTTTTTTGACTGAGCTTAAATTAAACTCTTTGCGTCCGCGTGTAGATATTACGGAGGAGCTACAGATGAAGCTGCCTGGCCAGTCCCTTACTGGGGCGGACAGAAGGCCATGCGGGAAGCCATGGCCCGGGCCGTCTCTGCTGAGCAGCGAGATAAGCTGCGGGGAATTCATGAGGGCTTCCTCGGTCCAATGATCAACTGCAGCGCTGAGGTAACTTTTTCAACCCTCATACTTAGCCAATTTCTTTGTTCTCTGATCCACTAACCCGTTTTCTCTTATGCGCATCTTTTCCTGCGACTGACCGCCTTCTTTGAATGGAAGGACAAAGAAAACGAAAAGTTGAAGCGTGCCTGGGAGAAGGTCCAAAAGGCCCAGGATGCTGTTACTGGGGATACGGTCGTCCAGCGCCGATATTTTGAGACCTAGATCAATGCGTTGTCCGACAAGGCAACGCGGCAGGCAGAAGATCTGGTGAAACTGGTTAAGGCCCTCGAACAAGAGACCTTAGCCAGGGAAACCATGAGGCAGGAGAGGGATCAGGCCCTCTTGGACGGCCAGCGCTGGAAAGAAGGGTTCGAGGCCTCAGAAAAGCTCAAAAGTGAGGTGGCCTTGGCCCAAAAATATTTAAAGGAGGCCCTGGACGAGGCGGGCGCACTTAAGGCCGAGGTGGAAACTTTGAAGAAGTCCGTTGAGGACTTAAATCTGCAGCTGAAGACACCTCGGGCCCCTAGTGCAGACGAGGTCGTCCGCATTGAACAGAACGCTGAGGACAGGCTGAAGAGCCACTTCTTCGAGGCGTTCGAGCTCATGGTGGACGAGGGAGAGGCGACCTTTTTTCAAGAGCGCTTCACTAAACGCCTCAAATTCGTCTACCTCAGGGAAGAAGCTAAGAAGCCTGGACAGCCTTCTCCTGAGCTGGACGCCACACCAACAACCTCAAAGGATGAGGAAAATGAAGAAGTGGCGGCCAGCAATGACGGTGAAGTGGAGAGCAAGGAGGCGCCAGCTGAGGACGCGTCCCTTGGCGCTTCTCAAGATCCCGTCCAAGTCCAGGATCCAGCTCCAACCCTAGCCGCCCCTTAATTTCAGCTCCTTCTTTCTTTTTGGTCAATTTCTATTATTATTATTATTTTTTATTTGCCGCCTTTTTGAGCGGTTTTCTGTAAGACATTTTGCCGCCTTTTGAGCGGTCTTTTTATTAATTCAAGTTTTCTATTTTGCTTCATACTTTGCAATCTTTATATTTAACATGTTTTTGCCCTTTTCGTACGCGTACTTATTTACACGTTTTTGTATCTTCGTACAATGGGGGGTATGCCCCTTTTTTCGGCGTTCACCTAGTCCATATTTTGAGCGGTTTGATTGACTTGGTAGAATTTATACCTTGGGGGGTATGACTAATAGTAAGTTAATCAAATCATAGTAATGATTGCCCTTGGACTAGGTGATACGCCGAATCAACACATTATCCGGCCGTTTGATTGGCTTTATGTGAGTTGTCCGTTGAAACTATCGTTCGGACGCACCCAAAAAATTTCAAGTATTATCTTAACTTAAAATTTCTAAGTTTGGCTGGGCTAGAATGCCTAGGTATGCCCTTGCCCCATTAGAGGGGTTTCATAGGGTACCTTTCCTTTTCCGTCCGTCTTAGTGATTTAATCAGGGACGGACGTATACATGTGACTTAAGGTCAAGTCACTCGTTCATATTTTGTTTTATTTTATTTTGCGACTGGGTTGCTGTGTTGCAAGCAACCTAGTTACAAATTTCACGCGGTGTTTCTGTGTAGACTACGATAGTGCAAATAAGCATAAATAGAATGGAAAATAATATAACAATGTTTGACTTTTCATTAATTTGTCAAAATTACATTGTTGTGGCCGTACGTCTTTAATTATATTACTCGGTCAACAGACCTAGCAGTATATACAGCTTTTTGGCTAAGTACTACAGAAAACTTAAACATTATATTTCTTCAAATTATCAGTGTTCCATGTCCGCGGAATAGGTCGGTCGTTCATGGCTTCGAGACGGTAAGTTTCATCTCGAACTTCTTCCCTGATTCGATACGACCCTTCCCAGTTTGGGGTCAACTTTCCATCTTCATTTGCTCGGCCCACAGCCTCCATTTTCCTTAGGACCAAATCTCCCAATTTTAGCGGCCGCTTTGACACTCGGCGATTGTATGCCCTTGTCATCCTTAGGCGATAAATTTTGTGTCTTAGCGCCGCATTGCCCCTAGCTTCAGGGAGGAAGTCTAAGGCGGTCTTCATGACTTCCCAATTAGCCACTTCATCATATAGCATCACTCTAAGAGTGGGCTCATACATCTCAATTGGGAGGACGGCCTCAGCACCATACACCAAAAAGAATGGAGTTTCCCCTGTGGAGCTCTTGGCCATTGTTCGTATGGACCATAATACATTGACCAACTCATCAGCCCATAGGCCGCCTGCCTTTTCAAGCTTGCGCTTGATACCATTGGAGATCAACTTGTTGTATGCTTCTACTTGGCCGTTGGCTTGTGGTCGGCCGACCGAAGCAAAGCAATGAGCTATGCCCCGACCTTCCAACCATTCCTTGAGTTGAGGTGTTTCAAATTGGGGTCCATTGTCGGACACCATAGACTGAGGAACGCCAAAACGTGTAATGATACTCTTCCATATGAAGGCTGAAACATCCGTCCACTTGATGCCCCTTACAGCCTCGGCCTCCACCCACTTTGTGAAGTAGTCTACTGCCATAAACACATAACGCCTTTGACCAGATGCTGGCGTGTACGGTCCTAAAATATCCATCCCCCGTTTGGCAAAGAGGAGCGGACTACTGATGGCCGACAGACTGTTGGCGGGGCAGTGGATCAAGGTTGCAAATCTCTGGCATTTGTCACATTTTTTCACCATTTTCATGGCGTCCGACTTTAAGCTCGGCTAGTAGTATCCTAGATGGGCAGCCTTTTCAGCCAAGGCTCGTCCTCCAATTTGAGAGCCGCACTGCCCCTGGTGAAGATCGTCCAGGACATCATGCCCTTTCTCAGGAGTAATACACTTCAGGTATGGCTTCACAAATGCCTTTTTAAACAACTCCCCCTGCTTTATTTCGAACCAGGCCGCTCTCTTCTTCACCAGCCAGCTCTGTTTAGGATAGGGCGGGAGTAATCCATCCTTTGGATAAGATATGATCCCGTCCATCCAAGTGGAGCTTCTATCAATGATATGTAATACTCCTTCTTTCCTTTACCTCCCAAAATACTGACCTGGGGGGGTATCACATGATGCTGAGGATGCTAATTTAGAGAGGGCGTCCGCCTGATGATTAGACGAATGAGGAACTTGTTGTAGAGTAAAATGATCTAGGCCCTTAGCCTCCTCCTTGACAATTTTCAGGTATTTCATCATAGCCGTCTCCCTTGCCTCGAAGTCTCCATTCACCTGGCCGACTACAAGTAGGGAGTTCGAGCTTACATCAATTTTTGTATCTCCTGCCGCCTTACACATTCTAAGGCCGGCCAGGAGGGCTTCATACTCGGCCTCATTATTGGAGGCTTGAAACTGAAATCTCAGAGCATAATAAAACTTATCTCCCTCAGGAGACTGACATATGACACCTGCACCACACCCGGTAGCTGTTGCACTACCATCCACGAACACCTTCCAGACCTGGTCTCCGGCTGGCTGCAGATCCGGCCGAGTCATCTCAGCTAAAAAATCAGCAAAGGCTTGTCCCTTGAATGCTTTTCTCGGCTTAAACGCAATGTAAAAGCCTCTCATTTCCAAGGCCTACTTGAGCATACGACCACTTGCTTCTAAGGTTGAGAATGGCTTCTTCAGAGGTTGGTCTGTGTAGACCACAATTGAATATGCCAAGAAGTATGGCCGCATGTAGGGAATATTTTCAAGCATTAACCTCTAGCTTGAACCCCACTGTTATCATACACTAAAGTACGGTGGCGTCCAAAAGGGAAGAAGATAGAGCAAAAGAGTCGCCAACAAGTTTTAGGAACTTGTAAATCGTTCACAAGCTGAAGGTTAAACCCCTTAACGATCTAAGAGATCGTCAACTCCATAAGGTCTTGAACCAAATAAGGGTTCGGGGATGAAGGTACAAATCCAACCTAAAAGAGATTGAACCTGCCCTAATAATAGGCCTCTACTTTATTCTGATCGTATTCATGTGCGCTTTCTGACTAACATGCAATCAATAGGATTAACCCTAAACATGTTTATCTATGTTGGTTGAATTTAATGCACAAATAAACTGTTATTGGCGATCACTTGAATTATAATCATATTAACCCTAACAAGATTATTAATTATCTTATTAAGCGTGATTACAAGTACCAATTCCCTTTAAACATGCATAAAAGGTGTGATCAAGCAATAACAATAAATATATATCAAGCAACATAATAAATCATCATCAAAATAATTATAACAATCATAATTAAAAATAATCATCATAATAATTATAACAATTATAATCATAAATCATAAAGTATAATCATAATAATAATCATCATAATAACAATCATATTAATAATAATAATAATCATGTTAAAGCATAGCAAGATCCTAGGCATGATACTAACAAGATTAATAACAAACCCTAGCATGTCACTAAGCTATAAAAATCAAAACTTTAACCCTGACATGATACTTACAATCATAAATATTAGGAAGAACATAGGAAGCATCACAGGAATCATAATAAACATATTTGATATTAAAGCTACCCTAGACATGATACTAGGAATTTATAATAACAATCTAAACATGATTTCTACATCATAACATCAATAAAAACCATTAAAGTACTTACTTTGATGCCTCGTACCTCTTTCTAATAACAAAATACACACGTTAGTAACTTCAAGGAAAATATAAAATCAAAACAATTAAATTAAATAATTGAAATAGAGATTTGGGACCAAACCCTCAGAAATTAAACCTTTCACGTCTAGGGCGAAAGCAACTTCGAATATGGCTAGGTGTTTCTAGATCTAATGAATCCGGAATTTTGTATGTAAAAGCTAGTTTAGAAAAAAAAGAGAGAGAATTGATGAATGAAAACTGGTTGTAGGTGAATGAAAACGGAGTTTTTACGAAGTTATTTATAGAGAAAATCAGCCAAAAAGATAAAATTATCAAAACAGAATCTGGCGCACAAAAAAACAGAACCAGCGCCAACGCTGGCTGTTGGCGCCAGGCGCTACAGGCGTTTGGCGCTGATCTGGAAATTTACGCGTTTTCTTAAAATCAGATAAAATTGCCGTACAGGAAGATAAAATCGTATTTTTCCTCAAAAATGCTCTTTGATTTTAATTAAAACTCTAAAAAGTCAACAAAAGTCAATTTATCAATGCTAATTGAATTAGGAATGAAATGAACCTCCTAGAAGAATCTAAAAGACTAAAACCATTCCTAATTGCATTAGGAATGATAAATCTATACTAGGCCCTCCCATAGATCATTGGGCCGCATATAAGGCTCAAAACGGGCTCAGTTTAGTAAATTGGCCATAACTTCCTCAATATTCATCGGAATTGGGCTTATAATATATCGTTGGAAAGCTCTTGTCAAGCCCCATCCAACTAAACTACTATTGGACCCATATCATGGACCAACCAAACTGGATTGACTGTTTTCTTAAAATAAGTTTTTAAAAACAGAGAGAAGAGAAAATAAATTAAAACTATCCGCAACACTAAACTTTCCACACTTTCACTTCATTCGATTATGATTCGACGTGAAAGGTTCTCATCACCGGGTTTGGTTTCGAGGAGATACAAATGGGTGTCTACAGAAGCCCCCACTTTGACTGAGTTTGGAGAAACGCAAGTTTCAAAAACAAAAGTCAAAGTATCGATAGGGACGGAGAATGATTCAGAACGTTCTGCGATCCTAAATCACTCTTGTAACGCCGATACCTACAAAACTAGCATTAGTCAAACAGATAAGAGAGTTAAGAAACGCGTATCTTGCACCGTCGAGCACACGTCTCTGAAGTAACCGATTTGTTGCTGCTTTACTGTTGTTTTGATTACCTCTTGCCAAGAGAATGCCATCCCGCTTGAAAACTGCTACGCTTGTAACTGCTTCCAATTTAGAAGATTTCTTCGCTTGAAACGATCCTCTCCCGCTATAATAATATTCCACGTCCAAGGGAATACTATCTAAGATTGCTTCGCTTGAAACAATCCCCATCCGCATTGATAATATTCCACGTCCAAGGGAATACCATCGAAGATAATTTCGCTTGAAACCACCTTCATCCGCATTGATAATATTCCACGTCCAAGGGAATATTACTGAAGATAATTTCGCTTGAAATCACCTTCATCCGCATAATGACCATCTTCCATGTCTAAGGGAACATGGTCGAAGACAACTTCGCTTGAAATTACCTTCAGTTGTTTGTGAAAACTCTCTGCAAGCTAGGGAATACTGCCGAAGATATCCTCACTTGAAGCTATCCTCATTTGTTGCAATAATTTTCCAAAGGAAATTACCGAAGATCTCCGCTTGTCGATCTTTAAAAGCTCGCTTGAACTTTGCTCCCCCTATGCCTGTACGTCGGCGCTTTTGTTGCTTTTGAACCTGTATGTCCGTGCCTTTTGCGAATGAACCACTATGTCCGTGCCTTTTGTTAATGAGCCAATGCTTAGGCGCTTTAAGCTAAGTGAGACGATCTTTCATCAGGTCGATCACTTTGTGCAATCAAGCCGATTACTAAAAATCATGTCAAATTGCTTAGAGGGGCTAACTGCGTACCAAGGAACCCAAAATATGTCGCAAAGAAGTAGAACAACCCTACTGTGTGTCTGGGTGTTCTAGCGCCGCTAAAAAAGAATCAGCGCCACACAAATAGACTTAGCGCTAGGATTGGCGCCAGGCGCCAAGCCTGATTTTTGACGCCAAAGCCTAGCGCTTGGCGCCAGCATGGGGTTTTCCTTAAATACCCCTTTCTTTTTCATTTTGCTGTTTACTCGTCACGTAAGTTGCTCGAAAAACTGGAAAACTTCATTTGCTTCGTTCTTGCTCGTTTCTCAATCAAATTCACTCAAATTTGTTGCAAATCAAAGCTCCTTTCATCCATTTTCCCGATCTATGTAAGTTTTCTTCAAACTCACACCGGTTTTATGAATTTTGCACATGTTTATTCACGAATTTCTTGAAAATTCGATATTTATAATGCGTAATTCACTTTGTTTATCAAATTTTATGTCATGAAATTGCTTGATTATGTTTATATATTGCCTTGGGAGTAATTTGAGACTTGTTTGACTCAATTTGGTGAAGAAATGAGCAATTTTCCATTGTTGGACCTCTTGTGGTCGAAAAGAACAATGTGACTCGTTCTTGATGTTTTTGCTAGCAATTCTTGTCCAATTTGTCACAATAATTACTATAGTATTGCAAAAAATTGTTTGATTGCTTGAAAAATTCCGTATATGCTCAATTTTAATTTATGCTCTGTTTTAGTAGTGCGTACTCTGTTTTTTGCGAATATAGTATCATGCGGATAGGCGAACCTTAGATACTATGATAATTCTGCACAATGTAGCATGGCTAGACAGCGAGGCTCTGGTTCACGGTCCTGAGACACTCGACGGGAGCACGAGCCCGTGGAGGACGACACCACACCATCCACTTCGCTTGGTCGACTCCCCGAGTGGGATGAGCGGACCCTGTTCTTTTCCCCCGTCCACCATATTTCTGAGAGGGTGAGACGGGGCATCACTGTCGGGAGGACGCGTTGTCACGATTCCGGCTGTGATGGCTTGGGCGATTTGTACAAGATGTACATCGCCAGGGACGTTGTGACGAGACTCTTATGGGAGTCTTGCGGTCTTGCTGCGTTGTTTGAGACCTCCGAGGCGATGGTAGCCTCCAGCGGGGGTCAC